AGCCAGTGACTTTTAATTCGTATGTTAATACAGTCGTTTGCTTTAGTCGTTTCCTACCTTTTGGGGTCAGGGGTATATTAGCCAGTTGGAAGTCAGAGACGGGTGAATTTTCAGTACTCACTGAGAAATTCCCTCCCGATAGTATCCTATATGTTTCTGCGTTTTATCATTTTCGTTCACGTCTTCATATTCTTTACTATATTTCTTTTTTTTAAATTTATTTATTTATTATATATACACTTCCCAGGATACAGTGCCAGATCTCATTACAGATGGTTGTGAGCCACCATGTGGTTGCTGGGAGTTGAACTCAGGACCTCTGGAAGAGCAGCCAGTGCTCTTAACCTCTGAGCCATCTCTCCAGCCCTCTTCACTATGTTTCTAAATTCCCATTCCTCCACTCTGGAGAAAGGTATTTTTGTCGAGGCTGGCCCCTAACAAACTGTTAAACCAATGCGATTGGCATCTTTGGGAGAGAAGAAGGAAGAGGGATGGGAGGAGATGCAGAGACTCAGATTCTTTTTTTTTTTTTTTTTTTTTCGGATTTTCGAGACAGGGTTTCTCCTGTCCTGGAACTAGCTCTTCTAGACTAGGCTGGCCTCGAGACTCAGATTCTTGAGGGCAGAAGGCCATGTGACAAGAGGCAGAGAAGGGAAGGCCAAGACTAGAGGATCACCGGAAGCTAGGAAGAGGCGAGAAGGACTGCCAGAGTCTTAGGAGTATGACCCTTCAACAATTTGATTTCAGACTCGTGGCCTCAGAAATTATTCTCTGCTGTTTTAAGCTACTATAGCAGCCCTTAATAACTAACACATGTTCCAAGAAAAAAAATACAACAAAAAACAAACCAGAACTTTAGGATAGCAGAATAGAAGGCTCCAGAATAGAACACCCCTAATATTGATGTTAATGATGCCTGAAAAATCAAACTGCAAAATATAGATTGACATTGTCTATCATAATGCGGAGAAGACCTACTAACCTTCCTAGTCAATGAGAGCAGTATGGCATCCATGAAAATCCTAAAGCCGACATGCTCACCGTGAGTCTTGATATAAACCTAGAAGAGAATTGGACATTTACTATGTGAGTGTAAGAGCCCCAGCAGACGTCGCTGAAGAGAAGACTTGTGAAAAGCTGTACATAGGATGATGTTTAACCAAAGTAGCCATGTGTAAGCAGATGCTCAAGACATACAGAGTCCAGAAAAACAAGCACACTTTGAGCATACTGTACCTTATTGTCCTTTAAGGTATAGTGACACAGGCTCTGCCTCTGTCCGAATCGTTTTGGGATTTCTGCTGCAATCTTCTCAGGATCAACAGTAGGGAAATGTGCCAGATCTTTCTGAATCTGGGTGATGTTTTCTGGACAGTTCATCTCCCGTAGCCAGGCGGCGCTGTCTTCCAAAGGGCAGTCACAGTTCTCATGATAAACTGGCCCTGTTTGTGCATAAACAACACATAAAATCTCGTTGCACATTATGCGTTAAAAACCCCTCTAGCCGGGCGGTGGTGGCGCACGCCTTTAATCCCAGCACTAGGGAGGCAGAGGCAGGCGGATCTCTGTGAGTTCGAGGCCAGGCTGGTCTACAAGAGCTAGTTCCAGGACAGGAACCAAAAGCTACGGAGAAACCCAGTCTCGAAAATCCAATAAATAAATAAATAAAAACCTTTCTAATGGCAAAACACTTATTATTACAAATTATGTGTCTATGGATGCAGGTGCCTTTGGACAGATACCCTCTTCCCTGAAGCTAGAGTTCCAGGTGGCTGTAAGCCACCTACATGGCGGCTGGGACCCAAACTCCGCTCCTTGGCAAGAGCAGCATGCGATCCCCACCACTGAGCCATCCTTCCAGCCTTCTAACTTGGTTATGCTCACTGATGTGTCTTTAGGGAGTAACTTCTCTAGGCATGTTTCTTGGCCTTCAGTGACTTATACTCAGTGCCTCCTAATTTAGCTTCCAATGAAAGAAACAGCCAGTGTTCTCTTTCAGTGAAAAAAAGCATGCTAAGTTTTTTTGAAGGAATTCTTCTTGATGGAGTGCCATGCATTTCTGTGTTCAAAATCCTGTATCATAAAATTTCATTTCAGAATACCTCTTAGAACATAAGGAGACTTGGCCACGTGCTGACCGAGGTGCTTAACCTCTATCTTCAGGCTTCTGTAGCTCGCATACATTCTGTATCTCACTATGAAGGACCCATCTTTTCGATCTAAAACTTGGACGCCAACTCTCGTAAACTGCTCATCGGGCGCTGAGATTTTAACCTGGAACACCTTTTCACCTGGCGAAGAGGTGAACCTGTGATGGGAAGAGAGACGAGACGGGAGGGCTATTTTTTTTTAATTTATTTATTTATTATGTATACAATATTCTGTCCGTGTGTATGCCTGCAGGCCAGAAGAGGGCACCAGACCTCATTACAGATGGTTGTGAGCCACTGTGTGTGTGTGGGTTGCCGGGAATTGAACTCAGGACCTTTGGAAGAGCAGGCAATGCTCTTAACCTCTGAGCCATCTCTCCAGCCCCCACGGGAGGGCTATTCTAAGAGCAAACACACGCTACTTATTCTCTTCAGGTTATAAAGGATGTGCATCCTGCTACATCCTTCTAAGAAACCGTCGCTTGCTTCTCTCTTAGGCTTTTAGTACCAGAACCAGTAGGATGGATCAAACACGAGAAAAGAAGATAATAATAACAGAAAATACGTCAACTAGACAGTTGCCAGGGGATACATTAAGACTATCAATCTATTTAGCAAACAAATAAAAAAATAATTATTTATATCGGCCTGCTCATCACGTTCTGGTAATTTATCTTTCGTTATATGGTTACTTCAAGGATGAAGCCTTATTTTGAAGAACTGCTCTTAATGCCTCAAAAAAACAAAAAGTAGTATTCTTGGGGCTGGGTAAGAGCACTTAGTGTCATATAAAAAAGGACTTAGTGCAGGTCCCAAGGCTCACAACTACAGGCAGGTCCAGCTCAAGGAGATCCATGCCCTCTCCGGCTTTCTCCAGCTCCTGGCCTCATGTGTGGCTATATACCCCAACCCACATTCACATAATTAAAATACTAGCATTAATGAACATCTAATAAATATATTAGTACTCCAAATGTTTAGTTATGGGAAAAATCAAAATAACTGATCTATCATATCAGCAACACAGTTCCTGTATTTGGGATGTATTTAGTTTTTAGTATTTAGTTTTCCCAGTTGTACTATCTTTCTTAAAACAGCTTGTGGGAAAACACTTAAAAATAAAGGAGTTTTGTTTAGCCTCGAGTCCCCCTCTAAACAGTTAAGGAAAAAAACTTATTATAGCAATATTTTATACTTTATTGAATACATATTTCGGAATTATTTTCAAAGTTACAGAGAAAAATAATTCGGAAAGAAAAGCCTGTTATAACCAGATGTACACAGTACTAAAGCATCCTGGAATGTGAACTGTCTGGAGAAAAGTTGAGGCAGATAAAAATGAGGGGCGAAAACCAAAACAAAGAGCAACAAGAACTCTGTAATTTGAACCAGCGATCTCAAATAGTTGAGGAGCCACTTCTCCACTTACTGCTCTCCTGAGGTATCCACTGCCCGAATGTAGAAATAGCGGGCTGGAAGGACCACGTCTGCTTTTAGCCCGGGCCCCCATATTTCGCTCTTCTCTGGGCTCAGTCTCCTCTCTCCGCCGGTCTGGGCAAGTGCTGGCACAGTCCCCAGAAAAAGGCAGGAAAGCAGCGAAATGCTGAACATTTACAAGACCGACTGTCAGAAGATCCACGGATAAACGCCAACGTGCTAAGTGGACGGAGCTAGCCTGGTTAGGTAGGGGCACGGTGGCCGGTCCTTAGCTGCAGCTAAAGAAGCAGCAGGTCCCCGAAGTGTTGCTTGATGTGCGGGGTCGGAGCGCGGGTCTCCACGGTGCCAGAGACTGTCACACCCCAAGCGCTGGCATGTCCAGGAGAAAAACTCCACTCGTCCTGCTGAACCGGGTAAGAACCGCAGAATCCTCTTTCTCTGGACAATGACAAACTTGTGTTACCCCCTGCCTCTAGAGCATCATTTTGGGGACGAATCCGTCGCAGGTTCCAGCCAAGGTGGGAGGCGAAGGATTGGCCTGCGCGGCGGCCCGGCTTAGTAAGATCTTCTGCTAGTGGATGAGTGGGTCAAAGTGGACACGCGTCCCCGGCCCTCGGCTCCCTGGGATATGTAGTCCACCATAGGACTAGCGGAAATCCTGCCAGGGGGTCCACCCCCTCTCCCCCATACTGCTTTTCCCACCTCCTTTTAAAATTTCGGATCGCCGCTTTCCGGGAACCCTTAAATACTACAGTCGCGCAACAGGGGACTGGCGCGTCTGGATTCAGCTACGATTTCCCAACAGAAATTTTGCCCACCGTCCCCACCGCACCTGCAAATGGCAGGTATTTATTAAATGATGAAAGATATCCAACCACCCGGCTCCAAGGTCCTGGCGCTGTCCCTGTGCGTTGGAATGGGAAGAAAGACTCCGGGCCTAGGGTGGGAGGCGCGACAACACAGATCTGTTGTTGTTGCCTTCCAACACCGGAGTTCCTCGATCCAACGGAGGCATTCCCCAGTGGTGGGCCGGGCCCAGGGACTGGTCAGCGGTGCGCTCCGCCTCTCCGCAGCGCCGCCATTGCCTTGTTGCCGCCCCTCCGTGGAAGGATCTGGGCCGAGCTGTATCTCTGAGGAGGCAGAGGTTCAAGGGCTAGAAATCACTGAAACAAAGCTCGGCTTTGGGGTGCATCCGTGGGTACCTGTTTACCCTCGGCAGGAGCGGGTTTCCACGCTGCACTAACGGGTCTCGGGCACCCGGCTTGCAGCGGCCATCCTCTTTCCACGCACACGCGCATCTGAGCCAGGGAGGTCCTGAGAAGTCGCAGGCTGGGTCCCTCACTCCACCGGGCAAGGGGCGAGGAAAACTCAGACCCCCGGTGGCTCGGTGAGCTAAGGCGTGGGGATTTTTTTTTTTTTTTTCTCTCCCGCTATTGTTGTTATTGGTGATGTCAGCTCCTCCATCGCGGCCTCCCCTCCCGGCTCCTGGGTTGTCACTGCCGGCTTGCTACCCGCCCCCTCCAGTCCCCCTCGGGTTGGAAGCGGCACCCCCCACGGGCCTGCTCGCGCTCCCCCTCCTGGGCGAACCTCGTCTTCCGGCGGGGAGTGAGGGAGCAGGCCCGGAGGAGCTCAGGAGGCTTTAGCAATCCTCGGCCGGTGGGGGACCGGGGACACCGGACTCTGGCTTGGCTACCGTGGACTGGGGGTGGGAACCACGCACAGCCCCGCTGCTGCAATTGCGCTCCCGGGTCTGCTCCGCCCGCGCCGGCACCGCGGTCACCTTCAGGTGGCCTCGGAGCCTCAAAGAGGGGACGGTGGGAGGTCGCTCGGCTTCCCAGAGCCTGGGCTCTATAAGAGGGCACCGTGAGCTGCAGGAACCCGTTACCCGCAGGTAGGCCGCCCGGAGATGGTCTGATGGCCTAGGCTATGGAACAGGAAATTGTGCTCAAAATGCTGATGGAGAAGGGGGTCCAGGCTGGTGTCTTAGCGTTTCTCAACGATCCCTAGCAAAACACTTTTCTGTTCTGCGTCTCAGTTGTTTCCTATACAGAATATTGATTATACTATTTGCGAGATGTTGAAGGCTTTATTGAGATTTTGTAAGATGTCTAGTTCTTTACTGAACGTGGTATTTAGGCACGTTAGACACGAAAAGCACATGACTTGAAAAGAACATAACTCAGACGGTGAATATTGGCTCTCCAAGTGGTATGTTTGTTTGGCAGAACTGTTCATTCCAGTGACTTTCACAAGTCATCTCTCTAGTGGGGGTCCGTACTGCTCGGGAGATACTGTGAGTAAATTGTGAAACTGAGCTGTATGTTCTCATTACCAAGCCTTAAAATGTTAATCAAAATGAGTAGGGAACGATTGCAATAATGCCTGGTGCAATGTAGGCACCTACAAAGTATTTGTTGAACCTAGCTTCTCCAAAGGCTAGGCCAGGGATACAACTGTCTGGACAACCAGACTTAAAGGAGGTAGCCATTTGTATACAAACATACATACACACGAAAATCTTTCAGAAGGCAGCCATTTGTACGCGCGCGCACACACACACACATACACACGAAAGTAAAAGCATAATTCTGGAAAGAAAGGTTCCACAGTATGTACCGGGAACCCGGCCTAATTAGACCATTAAGGAAACCTTCTCCAGAAAGTGATATTTGAGTATACCTTTAAAAGATAGATGAGAATGATTTAGTAAGGGGGGGTTGGGGAGCTGGAAGACAGCATTCGGAGAACCGAAAAATACTACGGAAGGACAGAGGAGGAGATATGGGGTGAGGTGGCTCTGAAGAGATAGATTTCAGACTGATCAAGGAGTTAGCCTTTTGCTCTGAGAGTTAGGCGGGGAAGTTCTGTGAGCACGTATGCTTAGCAGAGTTTACTATCTGTGGTCTACGCAGGGATCAGACTAGAGAGGATATAGCTCAAAAGGCGGGTGGCAGGGATTCATACACAGAGCTGGAAGGGGATGCGAGTCCCAGACAGCTGCAGGCCAAGTGGTGGGCAACCAATCAGCCCTTCACACCTCAGTTTTAGCCGCTTACTAGAATAATCTACATCTGTAATGGTTTGGTTTCCAGTAATTGTGCCTTCTTCGTTTTAAGAAAGCAGACTCTTAGCGAAGTCCTGAGGATGCCATGGCAGAAGCCCTTCTGAGTTCAACTGCAGAGGGACGTAGATGTGGATCAGGCATGGCGTGGGTTCTGGGTCATTTGTTTTCATTTTCCGTGAACTATCTTCTGATACTTCATCTTTTTTCTGCAATATATTTTTTAACTTGTGTCATCAAAACTATAAATATACATATTTTCAGAAATAAATAAAAACAGTGGCTCAAATGAGGAAATATTGATACCTGTCATTTTCAGGGCCAGTCTCTGTAAAATATATCTTCAGGTAGATGACAGTTATTTATGCTTTTTTTAAAGATAAAATGAGACCAGAGAGAATGCTCTTGTCCGGTGGGCCATTGCTTAAAGCAAACAAACCAAAACCAGATGGCGACATGTTTTATTGATCAAGTGCTATACCCTTAGTCACCTTCATCTTCAAGGAAGGTCAGCCATATTTTTCCTTCTTAAGTGAAGCCGTTTCCCTTGCCCATTTGATTTATTTAGCCTTGGTTATTGGAGCTGGGGTCTTGCCCAGTGTGGACGGCTGTCTGACTTGGAACTAGCGGTGCATTTTAGTCTAGACTCAACCTGGTCTGCCTCTTGAGTCCTGGGGTTACAGAAATGGGCTACTGATTCAGTTTTGCTCACAATTCTTTTTTCTTTCTGTATGTTCCAAATAAACATAAAACCAGCAAACTGTGACATGTATTGCTGGTCCCACGGTCAACATTTTATTCAAGTTGAGGAAGCTAGCGATGACAGGATAGAGTTAAGTGTCAGGTTGTGATCCTGGGGTGCGTGTGATGCCCTGACTCAGGAACCTTTGTCCACTACCCCCAGCTGACCGTCTGTTGTCTGTTAGTCTTCCTCACCCAACCACAGACACACTCCTGCCCCTCCGCCACGCATCTTTTAAAGACGGCCCTGAGGATCACAGATAGGAAGCAGGAAATCAAGAACTGTAGAAATCCGGTCCTCAGAGAAGACTCGTGTGGTCTGCAGACCTCACGCGCCCTTCTCCACTGTTGCCGTCACACCACCGACCGAGGAAGAAGGAGAAAGTTCAGACCCTATCTGTAGACACACTAAGACTTTCTCTTCTAAGGGAAACCGCTGCAGGTCCCCCCTTTGACGATGTTGTACCTCTATCCTGAGAGCCACTGTTAGCTGCAGGTGAGGAAAAAGCCTACCTGAGGCTGTAAGGCAAAGGCGTGTCTTATAAAAGGGGAAGCTTGCTTGGCACAGATGGAGTCTCCTTCCTAGGGGTGTATTTCCTTAAATCCCATTGATGGAGTATGTGGCCTTTAGCTCATTCATCTAGGAGATGCTGGAGCATCCCCTGTTCATCATCATATCTGTTTCTTAGAGAATCAGCCAGGTTGTACCATTAAATACTTGTGTGATGGCTATTAAGGAAATCATAATCTGTGGTTATTTTCATTTCTAGTGTTGAAAGTAAGCAAATGAGAAGATAGATCAATAGTAAAAAAAAAAAAGTCAAAGTGACCCCAATGGGTGGGTTTAATCTTTCATCCTCTGCTTGTTCTCTGGAGCCTGGAAAGGCCTGTCTTGCTCCGTCTGGCACCTGCCTTTGATTTACGGTGATGCTGTGCCTCACGAGGGACTTGTTCCTTTGTAAGGCCTTGCAGCTTCTTTGAATGCCCTCAGTGACTATTTGAACTTTACTGTTTTCTTCCTCAGAGGAATCAGGTTAGACGTGAAGCCCAGTTTTCTCTGAGAATGATCAGAAGTTAGTGCCAGTAACTTCAAATTATGTTTTCTTTGTTGAATATGACCATTATAATTGTGTATGGTGTTATCCCTATATACATTTTTTTAAAATCATCTGACCAGTGCACTACTTTAGGCGGTATTGTTTAGACTTAATTCACACGTCATAGAATTCACCATTGCAATGTATACTTCAGTGGCATTTTAGAATACTCCCCAAATTGTACTGTTATTATGTTTTACTGTGTTAGTTATGGAATATTTTCATTATTTCAAAGAAAAGGCTTATCATGCTGAACCCTCCTTCATCCCAAGGCAACTGCTAAGGTATACTTTGCTTTGTAGACTTGCCTTTCCTGGAGGTTTTGTGTGAAATTGAATTCTTAAGGGGTCAGTTCCTTTGTGACTGGGTTTTTATATTAAAAAGTTTCCAAACTCCATTCCTCTTGTTTCAGGATCAGGAGTTCCTATTGCGAAGTCGTGTTTCATGGATGGACATGGCACCTCCATCCAATAGTCAGACACGAGGCTTTGGGTTTCTTTCACTTTTTGCCATTATGAGGAATGCTGTTCCTTGGGGGCGTGGCCTAATGGTTCCTCTATGTATCTACAAGGCAAATTCCAGACTACATACATAGTCAGTGTTTAAATGTATGAAAAACTGTTTGGTAAGCCCACCAGGCCATTTTATATCTCTAACACGAAGGACCTGATTTCCCACACACTCCCCAGCATTCACTGTTGCCTGTGTCCTTTTATTACAGCCATTTTGGTGGGTATGAGTTGATACAGCCATTGTGGCTTTGATTTGTGTTTCCATAGCAACTAGAGATAATGAGATTCTTTCCATGAACTCATCGTTCATCTCTATAATGCTTTTACAAAGACGTGACCTCCCTCCCTTTTTTGGGGGTGGGAGTTTGGGACAGGGTTCCTCTCTAGCTTTGGAGCCTGTCCTGGAACTAGCTCTTGTAGACCAGGCTGGCCTCGAACTCACAGAGATCCGCCTGCCTCTGCCTGCTGAGTGCTAGGATTAAAGGCGTGCGTCACCACCACCCAGTGACTTTTCCCTTTTTAACTTGATTACTTGTATTTTATTCTTGTATTTTGTTTTAATCTCATTGTTTGTGTGTGTGTGTGTGTGTGTATGTGTGCAGGTACACATGCGTGTGTGTGCATGTGTGTGGAGGTCAAAGGTCAACATTGGGTGTGCTCCACATTACTCAATCTTATTTTTTAATAACAGAGTCCCTCACTGTACCAGAACCTCACTGATTGAGCTAGAGTGTTAGCCAGCCAGCCCTAGGGATGCTTCTGCCTCTTCTTATGCAGAGCTGGCCTTATGGCACACCAAGCTTTTTCTTTTTGTAGTGTGGATGCTTGAAATCCAGCTCAGGTCCTCATATTTGCATAGTGAGCACTTAGCCAACTCAGCTGTATTCCCCATCCCCTAAGATAAGTGTTAATATAAGATAGATAGTTGGCCATCATAACTCAGGATGTATGGTCATAAAATCAACATGCATTGACTGCAGATGTATGAAACATGCACATTATGGTTTATTGCCATTCATCAGGCCTGCTGGATAGACAATCAGTCTTTCTCCTCTGTCTTTTCTTAGGATTTCATTCGTCAAATCTCAAGCTTCCCTAGAATGCGATGAGAATTTGCCAAAGTTGATTTTCGAAAGAGAGAGAGGGTTGCGGCTTATTCCTAGGAACAGAGACGCCTGCTCTTGCTTTCGATGCCTCACGTTGCAGAAGCTGGAAGAGCCACTGATTCTGGACATGGTGAGCCCAGAGCCGAGAACAAGTCCCCAGAAGAGGAGCTACAAGGTGCTGTCCAATCTTTTTGCACAAGTGCCTCAGGAGCACCCGTGGGCCCCAGAGGAGATGGTCATTATCCTTCAAGCTGTCCAGTGACTCATACTCGGGAAAAAATCTATGCCATCTGCTCCGATTATGCCTTCCTCAACCAGGCAACCTCCATCTACAAAACTCCCAACCCAGCCCGTTGCCTCGCTGATAATAATACCTCGCTTTCTGCTGAAAACAGTCCAAGGTACATTGGTGTCCCACCTGGTACATCTGACATAATCTATAACGAAGAAAATAGCTTGGAAAACTTATCCACCAGCCTGGGCAAGCTACCTCTCGCGTGGGAAATCGATAAGTCGGAATTTGATGGCGTAACCACAAATTTGAAACACAAATCAGGTAAGAGGATGCCGTGACGTTCACAAGTGGAAACAATCAGAAAACCATGCCAAGTATTGCTAAATCTTGCCGTGACGTATTTTCTGTTTCTGATCAAGGAACATCGCTACCATCATGTCTGTCATTGCAATTTTTTTTTCCTTTAAAGTAATCCTGGTCGGGCTGGAGAGATGGCTCAGTGGTTAAGAGCACTGGCTGCTCTTCCAAAGGTCCTGAGTTCAGTTTTCAGCAGCCATATGGTGGCTCACAACCATCTGTAATGGGGTCTGGTGCCCTCTTCTGGCCTGCAGGCATACATGCAGGCAGAATGTTATATTCTAAATAAATAAATCTTTAAAAAAACAAAAACAAAAACAAAAAAAATAAAGTAACCCTGGTTTTAGTTAGTCCCTGAACATATACTATCCATGGAATCTTCTGACCTTATGTGTGCATTTTGGGAGCTTTGAAAATAAAAAAAGAATAAAATATAAGCATTAAAGACAATTATACAGTTGCTTAGAAAAGGCTAATCACACAGCTATTTTGATTATTTTGATTACTGTTATTTTGTAGTTTTGCAGGGCATGGGCATATTTCCTAATGTAGGAGATATCAAGACATTTTTGTTTTAAAATTTTTTGGATGTAAAAAGAACATCTGTTTTGATCAAAGTTGATTTTTTTTTTGTAGCTGCTATATTTTAAAGTCTCTTTTATTTCTCACAAGTGTGAATGCAAGCAAGCAAGAAAGCAAGCAAGCAAGCAAGCAAGCAGTCTCTCTTCTTTTTCCCACCTCCTTCCCTTCTACCCCTTTCTTTATGTGTATCTCTGTCTGCCTACCTGTTTGTCTGTCTGTCTGTCTGTCTGTCTCTGTCTCTATGTCTTTCTGTCTCTCTACCTTTCTCTCCCCCTCTCTGACTGAACTGAAACTGCAAGCTCTGTCCTTTAAAGACGGTTCTGTTCTTGGGTTGGGCCATTAGTCCTGACTGTCTTGCTTGGGGTCTACTCTGTGCATGTGTGGTCCAGGTCCTAGAACAAGCTTTGAGCCACATTTATACACAGAATTTGGGCCTCTCTCTTCGGTAACTTTCCTGTTTTTAGGTTCCTGCCCACCTCTTTTGGTGGTGATTGCCCAGAACTCTTGTCTTGTGCTTCCTTAAGGAAAGACAGTGGCTGATGTTTCTTCCTTTGCTCTCCCCTGCCTTCTCTGTTTTCTGGAGACGACAGTGGTCTGGCTCTGTACACCAGCCTGGCCTGTAATTCTTTTCATTTAAGTTTATTTGTTTTATTTTTACTCGATATGTGTAGGTGTTTGTCGGCATGATGTCTGTGCTCTTTGCGTGTGTCTAATGCTCTCAGAGGCCAGAAAAGCAAGATGGATCCAGGAACTGGAGTTGTAGATGGCTGTTAACCGCCACGTGAGACTGAACCCAGCTCTTCTGCAAGAGCAGCCAATGCTCTTAACTGCTGAACCAGCTTTCCAGCCCTCTGGCCTATAATTCTTAATCTTCCTGCTTCAGTATTTTTGAGTACTGGGATTACAGGTGCATGCCACTACATACTGCTCTGGACTTTAATTTCTTTTCTTTCTTCATACTTTAAATACCAAGGCAGTTAGTGTATGTGTCTAGCAGGAGAGGGCTCAATGAGTGTTTTCTGGTTAGGGTTGGGAAGAACGGACAGGGTACAGAGCAGTGGACAAAGGTCATTTTTGTATGCTATGCTCTCGCTTCTTCTTTGACATTGCTTTCTTCCCGCAAGTTCAGTAAAACGTTGGCTGTAGAACCACATCTCCTTGGCGGTATGGAGATCTCTTGCGGCAATGTGTGTGCTCATTTACCCCTGGGAGAATCACAGCAACACACACACCAAAAGCAGCCCAGGGTCAGACTTGCAGAACCCAGTAAGGAAAGAATGACGGAATGTCAGAGCAGGCTTGGCTCACTGAGGTCGCAGACTTGGTGAGTCCTTAGTCTCATAACTTGGAGTGCCTGGTAAAAATTACCCAGGGAATTAAGTCATCAAGAGGCAGAGGAGGGAGGCCCAGGGAGAGTCACTTTTCTGTTTTCGGTCCTCAGAAAACATTTTCACCAATAATGGCCCAAGGAGATTTAGGTCACGTCTGCAAGTGGCTGCTAAGCTCCAAAACGCGTTTTGTGTATGCTGTGTCCGCGAAGACACTGGCAGAATAATTAAACGGGCGGGGAACTTGTGTCTGGATTGTAGAGTGTTCATTGCGTAATACTTTACAGATGTCCCGTGTGTAGGAGAATTTCCTGAGTCCCAGCTGGTTATAGGAGCTCCATGGTGATGAGTCTGTAAGCGTTTGGTATGTCTACATAATCTGTGCTTTGATAACACAAAAATAAAATCTTAGCCTTAATTTTCATATGAGATTTGATTCTTTCGTTTAAAATAGATGATATCGGGAAGATATTAATGTATCTGAGTATAGCTGAAAGGACAGTTATTATTTTAACAAAGTTAGCCTTGGGTATTATTAATATTTTAATATGTATCCTATTTTGAGCGGATAAACTATCAACATGTTTCAGAAATAAATAAATAAATAATTAAACAAGGTTAACTCTCCCTCTCACTTTTGCCTCCTCTCTTGTTCATGTTCCGTATCTCCAGTAGGCAGTCATTACATGTCTTTGGGAAGATTGTGTGTATGTGTGTGTTGTGTGTGTGTGTGTGTGTGTGTGTGTGAGAGAGAGAGAGTGGGGGCACACAGAGGACGCTGTGTTTTGCACTCTGGTTCCTAGTGCAGCGCTTTGTTTTAATAATGTAACTAACATACGCTTCACTCTGAATTCATTTTGCAGTCCCTAGGGCCTGGAGCTATTATTGGACAGAATGTCATCACGCCAGATCCAATGCCTTAATAGAATTATGTTTATGTGGGTTTTCTTGTCTTAGGGAAAGGATTCATTTTCAGGAAAGCTGTCTAGTTTAATTCTTTCCCGTTGGTAAGTTGTAGATGTGGCTTAAGATTTTTGGCCTGGTTATTTTACCAGCTCCAAGAGACTAGCTCTGATCTTGGATACGTTCTTCATAGCCAGTGCCGTTTCTGGCGGTTCAAATTATTTTTAATTCTCTTCTTGCTTCCTTTCTAGGGAAGAGCGCTTTTCTAGAAGGCACGGGCACTACTTGAGATGTTTGCAAATACCGTTTTCAGAGTGCTTCGCAGTTCCTCTCTAATTCTGTTGTGCCTTCTGGTGTGGTGGTTTACCTCATCTGAACACTCTCCTGCTTTATCCTTTTGTCCTGCAGGCAATGCGAAGAAACAAATTTCCAAGAGAAAAACTTCAGATAAGAAAGGGAGGCATCAGAGGGAGTGTCCCCAGCACTCTCCTCTTGAAGACGTGAAACAGCGGAAAGTCTTAGACCTCAGACGATGGTAGGTGGGCCATGCTAGTTTTTACTTTTTGGTCTTAAAAACATAATGCGACATTAATTTTGCTGGGTATAAGCTAATAAAATTGTATTTATTATGGTCTCCTTTAGTTCTAAGATTGTCTAAATACTTTAGGTTTATCTCAGATTTTGGAAGTAGACTGACTGAGCTGGGCCAGTGTTCCCTCGACTTACCTGACCATCAGTCTCATTTTGTGTATCCTCCTGATGGTAGGCCGCTTTGGATGATACTTAAACTTCGATGTAGTTGTTTGCCTGGTAGTTCTTTGTTGTCAAATTATTTAAGTATGCATTTCTGAAAATGGCTTTTTAGCTTAGAGTAAGTACTGCCACACCTGATAAAATTAGCAATATTTCTTTATTATTTGAAAACTGACGATCCAAGTCTCAGCTGTCTCAGAGTCTACATGTGTCAAATAAGAAACCAAATATGCCCCAAGTTCTGTGTAAATATAGTTGTAGCATTTTACACACTGCCAGGGGCTGGAGCTTGCGTAAGAAAGGAAGCTGAAGCAGAGCAATTCCGCCATCGCTTGGATCTTTCTATTTGCACTCACACTTTAAGGCACTGGCGTGAACACAAGAAGTTATCATGTCTGAGATCCTTCGAGTCCCTTACCTAGTAAATATAGCTTCCAGACTAGCTTAACATTCTCTAGAATGTTCTAAAAGTTGAACGCGCTTGCTTGTCATGGCTCATTGGTCTCAATTTATAATGTCTACCTTTCTCCTTTTGTCTCTGTCTCTGTCTGGGGGAATTTTGTGTTTCTCTTTTAAATCCTGTGACAGGTTCTGCCATAGGGCTCCCTGCCCAAGGGTTCATGTCGACATGGTGGGTGATAAAGGGATGTTCTTTGGTCTCAGTAGAAGAATCTCTGAACCTCTTGACATCATCTTAAAATCTTGACAGTGATTTGCTTTCTTTTCCTAGTATTTCAGAAGTGACAAATGATCCTGTACCCACTCAATTGGGCGTTTACATAGAAATTTGAGTAGATGATATTAGAATTTATAGACCAGATTGTATAAATTCTTTTTTTGGTTTGAATAAGATGTGCTTTGGTATGTTGCTAGCCATAATGTAGCCCTTCTGGATAAAATAGATGATTTTTTACTGTCATGGATTCTTTGTGTTTAATAAGTAGGAAATTTTTTTTTAGACATTTATTATGCAGTGTTCTGCCTGCATGTATCCTTGCAGGCTAGAAGAGGGCCCCAGATCTCATTACAGATGGTTGTGAGCCACCCTGTGGTTCCCGGGAATTGAACTCAGGACCTCTGGAAGAGCAACCAGTACTCTTAGCCTCTGAGCCATCTCCCCAGCCCAGTAGGAAATATTTTAAATGAATAGTGATTTTGCACTGCACCCAAGTTTCCTTATGATCACATTTGGAATCCCTCATAAGACCTATACTTCTCTTCTGCATCTTTTGCGTTCATTCAAGTCAAGAAACTGTTTGATTTCTCAGGTACTGCATAAGCCGGCCACAATACAAGACTTCCTGTGGTATCTCCTCCCTGATTTCTTGTTGGAATTTCCTCTACAGCACAATGGGAGCTGGGAAGTAAGTATGCCAGGCTATTGGTAGCACCAAACTCCAGATCTGAAAGTAGTTAGAAGGAAACCGGGTGTGGTGGCACATGCCCTCAATTCCAGCACTTGGGAGTCAGTCAGAGACAGGCGGATCTCGGTGAGATTGAGGTCAGGCTGGTCTACATAGTGAGAGTTACAGAGCAGCCAGGGCTACATAGAGACCCTGTCTCAAGAAGCAAAAAAAAAAGGGGGGGGGCTAGAGAGATGGCTCAATGGTTAAGAGAACTGCCTGCTGTTCCAAAAGTCCTGAGTTCAATTCCCAGCAACCACATGGTGGCTCACAACCATCTGTAGTAAGATCTGGTGCCCCCTTCTGGCCTGAAGAACAATGGATATCTAATGAATAAATAAATCTTTAAAAAAAAAAAAGTAATGTGAAGGCATCTTTTTTTTTTTTTTTATAACAGAAGACTCTAAGAGTAGATTTTTCACAAGCTGAGAGAAAAAAATGTGCATATTGCTATAAGCCTTTCAGGCTAAAATATTTGCATGCATTCTTTTCAAAATCAAATAAAAATGAAAAGTATCCCTAAGACTGTTTGCACAGATTGTATTTGTGGATGACTGGACTGTGAATGAAAGGAAATATTTCTCTTGTAGTCTCCCGCCTATTACCCAAGAAGATGCATTACATATTTTGGGCTTCCAACCCCCATTTGAAGATATTAGGTTTGGTCCTTTCACTGGAAACACGACACTCATGAGGTACGGGGCTGCCCCTTAGGGACAACACCTTGTTTCTACTTCTGTGAAGTGATGATGCTGTAGTGTGTGTGGACAGTAAAAGACAGACGTTGATGCGGGGTCCCAGGCTCCCTTAGAGATGCCGTGTGTGGGCTGTGCTTGGGTTTCTGTACAATTAGAACAGTGGTCCTTCCTTGTTATGAAACTATTGCTATGCGTGAATCTTCTTATTTTCAGATGGTTTAGACAAATTAATGACCACTTCCATGTGAAAGGATGTTCGTATGTTCTGTACAAGCCCCACGGGAAGAACAAAACAGCCGGAGAAACTGGTAGGTGAAAATGAACACACACACACACACACCTACACACACACACCTACACACACACCTACACACACACCTACACACACCTACACACACACCTACACACACACACCTACACACACACCTACACACACACCTACACACACCCCCCACACACCTACACACACCTACACACACACACCTACACACAC